AAAGGGATTAAAAAAAACCAATCATTCCCGTCTCCTGTATGTTGCTATTTTGTGCCCCACTAACCCCGGTTCAAGTCTAATTCCGTGTGCGGATGCCATGTGATGGTCGTTTGCGAGACCCCAGCAACCCCGATTTACGAATGCTGTGGCTGGCGGCTGGCGATTAAAGAAGGCACTTATCGAAGAGGTAAAAGTCCGGCTTGGCCATCCTTGTCGTTGTCGGTTGATGGAGCTTACACTCGCAGGGTCCCAGAACATAACAGGCGGCAGGATCTAGAGCTCTATATGCTTCACGAGACTATGTTTCTTCTTTCTAACTTCCAGAGTCTCGGATGGACCAAGGACTTTTTTGAGGTTCATATCTTCCGTTAGCTCAAAAATATTTCCGAATGGAGGGTGAACCAGAACAGTGTAGTCATGGGGATTGGACGTCAGCCTGCTCAGGAGATCGTACGCGCCCCAACGGAGTGGAAACGTGATGGTGTAAAAGCTTCCTCGCTCATTGGCCAAGTTGTTGCTCGTCATATCGATGACGCCCATGGTGTGCCGTTCCCCGCCTCCGCCGCCAAAATGCAAATGTTCTTGGTGTGACGAATGTTTGTGACTATGGTGGCCATGGTGGTGATGGTGGCCATGGTGGTGGTGGTGGTTGTGGAAACTCGGTCCGTGATAGTGATGCCCGCCAAAGTGGACGTGCCTCGGCAGGGGAGGCCCGAGGCACAATTCACAGAAATCCGCATCGTCGGGAAACGAAAAGCCGTCATCGCAAAACATGATGGCCTTTGATGACGAGCGATGGCGCGTCAACGAGGAAGACGAAGAAGATGACGATCTATGCGACGAACGTGACTTGCTGTGCGAGCAGGAGAAGCCCCAGTCGCAGCCGCACCGCTTGAATTTGATGGCGAGCGAAGTTTCTCTGATTTCCCTGATCCGGCAGGGCATTTGGAGTTCTGCTGAGGTGACTGCCTCTTTATGGATATTCTGTCCGTGTCGGATTGAGACTGAGGTGGGAGGCCGTGGTTATATGGCCGGCTGTTCAAACGTTTGGTGGTGGCCGTGGTGGTGGCCGTTGTCTTTGTTGCTCCATTACAATGGCCTTTGGGGAGCACGTCTCGACAAACAGCATCGTGTGGCAGCCGTCTTCCTGCGCAATAGCACAAGGTCTCTTTATCGGTGGCATAGGTTCCAAAGGTTTGTGAATACAGGGCCTCCCTACGCGCGGGTTGCCGCTGTGATTGATGAGAGAAGGTGTGAAGCGCTCCAGGAAACCGGGTTGAAACATTCGACAGGTGGATGCAAATGGCGCGCAACAAACGCGCACAATGACCTCAACTTACCCCCCCCCCCTGCCGACCACAGCTCTTTGCAGGTAGTGATAAATAAAA